CAAGACGATGGAGCGCGTCGAGGCTTACATGCTGGCACTGACGCTGGTCACGTACCTGTTCGCCGGACTGATCGCCATCTCGTTCATTGGCTACACGTGCGTGCATTGTTCGACGATGAGGGCCGACACTACCCCCCGACCGCACGGCCCTCCGTGGCAAAAGACCGACGACGCCTAACAGAACGGTGACCACGACGATCTTGAGGATCGACGAGTGACAACCTCATGACCGCCACTGAACCACCTGATGATCGGTTTACTGTTGTTGTGAGGAACTTTGTCGCACACGCGCTGCGGCATACAACTTATGCGTGTGATATGTGCATCCTCGCGATACGTCATGGTAATGTCAACACGAAATAAAATGTCCCCTTTTCTCATGGGCTTCGTTGTCGTCCCGCCACGATGTTTGTTGTTTATCAATTGCATATGCTGTCCTCCAAGGCACATATGGCACAGCAGGCGAAGTAAACGCCGTTGTTCCTTCTCGGTGGTGAAAGCTACTCAGCAATAAACCTTGAACGAATCAGAACTGACCATGGTCGCAAAACAAATCCTTGTTAGCAAACAATGCTTTGATTAAATACAGATAAAGTAGAATTTGGAGGATCGTTGTTACCACTTGATATCTGCACATGGCTTCACATGCTGACATATGAATGCATTACATCTGGCACGCAGCCCTCATTATGTACCATGCTATTGTGTCACTAAGTATCATTTTACGGTCAGACATCATAGATCCTGTTTATTCTGCTTTTGAGCTCTGCTAGTTGTAGGCGATGACAAGACATTAACACGACAACAACGCACAAACGAAAGTAGAAATAAATCGACCCATTGTTTGATCGTCATCCTCAGCCACTTACTTCTGTATTTCGTGGTTATGAATAATGAGGTCCTTACTCATCACGTGTTTTGCTTCTGTCAGACTTTCTTAAACACCTCAATGCAAAATTTAACATGAAGTGTATCTCACTTGTAGATTCGTGTTTCAAAGTACGAAACGAAGCAGATGGTCAAAGTTTTATTGCCAGCAAATGGCTTCGTAAGGAAACAGCCAATTGGCTGTTTGTCACTTTCAACGATTGATGAATAAACCAGCTACGGCTCCAACGATGGGTCCAGAATCACAAACATCAAATTATATTTATGAAAACTTCAATTCCACCAGGTTTAAAACGTTAAACCAACGTACAATGCATTCTATCGATTTTGTTGTCACCTGTTCAGCTCTACTCGTGTCTGTTGTACTTCAAACGACAACGGCAAATTTACTCGTCACTTTCTCGTCGCGTACAGTGCTTTTCTATGAAGTTTGATTGTTTGTTTTGTGCATTGGAGGTCATAACGTAAACAACACAAAACACCGTCCATTTACACACAAAGCAAACAATTTGGCCAGTCGGATAATTGAT